ACTCCCTCCTGCTCCCTTCTGTACACTTAGTTTTCTGTCAGCAGATCCAGTGAGGACAGGGAAGGAGAAGGAGAGAGTCTGCAACTTCCGTTAAGTTTCAGCACACTGCATTTGGGTGACTGCGTGGCAGAGGTAACAAGCCAAATCCGCTTGGTCACCAGGTGAGAGAGGCCTCTGAATAGATCTCGGACGTGGAATGATTTTTCTTCCTCCCTTCCTCGCATTTCGTATGTACCGAAGATCTATTGTTACTTACTATGAAAAATACCGTGAGCAGGAGAAGAAATGCAAAGTGGGATCTCTGGCCAGAGGGTGAGTTTGGGGAGGGGAGAGAAGAGGCCCAAGTCACTGCGTGTTCGCGGTCAGCAGAACAAGGGGAAACGTGCAGTGAGGCAGATGCTTCTCTTGGCTGCTTACTGAATGCTTCCCAAATGCTAGCTCCATGTTCTGTGTTCCGGGGATAGAAACAGAAAGGGCAGCTCAGACCTTGCCCCTTGAGGAGCCCACTGCCCCTGACCATGCTCCCAAGGCAAGGCTGCCTCACCACTTGCATTGGAATTACCTGGCCTTTGTCTAAAGCTGATGCCTGGGTTCAGATCGACACAATCAGAATGTTAAAGGTGGGCCCTTGAATCTCAAGTTGTTGGGTGAGCACCCCCGGTGATGATGATGATGATTCTTCTTCTTCTTCTTCTTCTTGATTCTTCTTCTTCTTCTTTTTTTTTTTTTTTTTTAAGATTTTATTTATTTATTTGACAGAGAGAGTATACAAGCAGAGGGAATGGCAGAGGGAGAGTGAGAAGCACGCCTCTCACTGAGCAGGGAGCCCGATGCTCCTGGGGCTCAATCCCAGGAACCTGGGATCGTGACCTGAACCGAAGGCAGATGCTTAACTGACTGAGCCACCCAGGCGCCCCAGCCCCAGGTGACTCTTAGGCATAGGAGAGTTTGAGCATGATCTTGTGGCAGAGACAAACAAGGGGACCCAAACAGGTACAGGTAGGGAAGAGCTGTGCTGGGGGGTGTGCAGGCTTGTGACTACAAAGACTGGGGAAGAGGATGGACCCTGCTTGTTGGTTTCCTTCAGGATGGCAGCAAAGGGGGGCACTGCATCCCCAGTCTAACACCACATCCAGAGGAAGGAACGGGAGACACAGGAAGGGACCTGTGGGAAGTCACCTCCCTTATTGAGATCTTTGTTCAAACAGTGCCTTCCCAGAGAGGCCTGCTATAGCCAGGTCTTCTAAAAGGAATCTTATCATTTTTCTTATTTTTTTTATTTTAAATTCAATTAATGAACATATAATGTATTATTGTTTTCAAAGGTAGAGTTCAGTCACTCGTCAGTCTTATGTAACACCCAGTGCTCATTATATCACGTGCCTTCCTGAATATCTATCACTCAGTGACCCCATCTTGTCGTTCTTCTTACTCCGACTTTTCCTCAGAGCACCTATCCTCTTCTGACATTGGAGTTTGTATATCTGTCTAATCTACTAGTGTAGAAGTTGTGCGGGACTGAGGGGCGCCTGCATGGCTCAGTCGGTTAAGCCTCTGACTCTTGATTTTGGCTTGGGACATGATCTTAAGGTCATGAGATCGAGCCCCACATCTGGCTCCCAGTGCATAGAGCCTGCTGAAGATTCTTTCTCTCCCTCTTCCTCTCCTCTTCCCACCCTCCAAAGAAGCTGTGAGAGATTTCACAGCTGTATCTGCAGTGCCTAGAAAAGTCGTTGGCTGATAGTAAGTGCTCAGTAAACACATGAAGGTGCTTCTAGGAGGGCAGACAGATCCACACTGGCCCCGTCTTTCAGCTGCTCAAATTACATTGCTGTCAAAGACTGCAAGAATCTCAACGATTCCTGTGGCCTTTCTCTTCCTTCTTGGCAGCCAGGAACATTGGAAGGAGCCACAAGAAGCCCTGACCTCGTTCCCCAGCTCTCCTTCAGACAGAGGCATTTGCATAGTACATGTCTCCCCTACTGGGCCCCACAGAGACACTTTTCCTGGTGTCTGGGTCCTGGGGAGCCTCAGAGCCATTAGTTAAATGTGCGGCTTCCTGGAATATCAAGAAGTTATTTACAGAATGGAAGAGGGAACTTTGAGAGGTGAGTGTGGTCTGATAGAGGAAGGCCAACGGCAACTTCAGGGAGAGGATGTCAGGAGTCCAGAGCCTGGCAGAATCCTCTGGAGCCCTTGCCTCCGGGAGGATAGGCATGCAGCGGGCTGTCCTGTGCTGCAGCCCAGTTTTTCTGAGAGCTTTCTCACAAAATGTTCTGCATCACAGGTTAATGTATAAGACACGAGTTGTAAGTGGAAAGTTGGCAGAGTCCTTTGGAAATTGGCTAAAGGGCACGAAATAAAGGTTAGCAATAAAAACCTAAAAGGATGTTAATTGGGGAGTGCCTCAGGGAACAGGGTTGAGACCAGCTTTTTATTATTTACATTAAAAATACTTGAGAATGGTTTTGAAAGGATTTTCATGTTGGCTAATGAAACTGCATTAGAGAGCTGTGTGTGGAAATGTGAACAGTGGAATTAGGGAAGGATTCAATTTATTGATGGTATTGAAGAGAGCATTTTCTAACGTGTTTCTGTGCACCAATCCACACCCATTCTGCTGGCTAGACTTCCATTCGAGTAGTGGGCAGGATGACTTAAGATTACACAACTCGAATCTCTATATATTTTTGGCCAGCAGGAAAGCACCTGAAGGGATTCTGGCATCCTAAACCCAGGGTAGTCCTGAAATTAAATGGAGGTTATCTTCAGACCTAGAAATCCTTCTTTTAGAAGGAGCTAGAAGACAGATAGAATATCCTACTTAGCTACAGGCATGAGACTGGAACCGGGAGGGCTGACATCAGCACCCCACCTCCCATAACCTTTTTTATTCTGCGGAGTTCAGATTATCACAGAAATGTATTGTAGATATACCCCAGTAGGAAGCTAGCAGAATCATTCCATCCTGGAAATAATACAGTGAGCCAGGACTGGGGAGCCCAGAGCCAACATTTGCTGTCCTCTCTAAAGCCTGCCTCAGAGGACAGGCTGGAGGCATCACGGAGGCCACCAAGCCCCGGCTTCCCGTGCTTGCAAGCCTGGGCCAGTAGAAATCCCCTTCAGCCTCCCTACTCACAGTGTGGTCCCAGGACCCAGGGCATCGGCAGCATGCGGGAGTAAGCTAGAAATGCAGCCTTTCTAGCCAAACCCAGAGCTGAATTTGAGTCCGCATTTTAGCAGGATCCACCCCACCCCCCCCCCCCCCCCACCCCCCGCCCCGGACTCCTAGGCACGTTAGCATTTGAGAAGCACTGCTGTAACATTTGTGACACCCAGGAATTACAAGAGAATACACCAAAGGGGATTTGGTGGGTTCCATAGAGTGAAAACTGGACCACATGAGTTCAGTGGCCCGAAGATAGAATTCTGGCATTCGGGATTTTCCAGTCTGCTGTAAACTAAAGATTCCCCTTGTTGTTTTCTTCAGTTTGGCTTCATAAGGCACAGTGCCTTCTCTGGGAGGTAAACTTACCCTTGAAGTGGACATCCCTTTTGAGGCAATGTTAAAAGCCAGTCCAGGATACCCCTGAGTTCTCTTCCCCTGAGTGTGGGCCACTAGCTAGTTGTTATCACCTAGTTAGCAGGCCACAGAGGCGTGGTACCTGGAGGCTGCTTTTCATCTGAGCTCATTTTCCAAGGGCTCTGTGGTAGGTGTGTAGTATTTTGTTGTTTTCTGCTGCTGGGTGTAGGCTGTTAGTCCACAGGACCGCCCTGTGTCGGGGTGTCACAGGCTTGAGCAAACCTTTTTAAACTGTAGGAGGCTTGGCTTTCAAAGATGTGGGTTTGAGCAGTCTGTAAGCCTCTTAGAATGGAATTCTCTGTAGGTTTACAATGACCTAACACCAACTGTGTGTTACGGGGCACACGGCTGCTTAAACTCCAACCTCCTTCTTCTCCCTGCCCCTTCCCTGGCCTACAGCTTTCACTCAGACTTGCTTTTAGAAGATAGGAGAGAGAAATGGAGGGGTTGAAGGAACTAGAAGATTGATGACACTGACCTGTGTTTGTCCTTAGCTCATGGGGTGGTGTACATAGGGCTGGTTCTGCCAAATTAGGAGAGAATAGCAATGAAACCCCAAGCTGTTTTGCTGCCATAGTTGGGTGAAAATAGAGTTGTAACCTAACCCAAATACTGCTTCATTTTTATTCTTTCTAGTTTTGTCAAGGTTATACCATTCCCCTCAAAGAATGGATGGATATTGAAATATCCGGGTCATTCCAGCTACTAGGGATGAGGAAAGACGTCACGTTTGCCAAGATACAGTTTGGAGACTCAGACTTAGCATGTGTCCTTTCTAACTGAGGCTAGACTGAGGCCCCTCAAATCTGAGTATAGTTCTGAGCCCTGTCCTTACATGAGAAGAGTCCTGCCCCCAGGGCCTCAAACAAGTCAACCAAAAAGTGATTGCTGTGAGCCCATTAAACAAGTGCGTCTCCTCAGTCCCAGACAAATACACACGGAGGAACTACTGAAGATCCAAGGCTGGACTTCTCTCCCCCGCAGAGAGAGCCCAGAAGCAGGGAACTCTGCTGTCCGTCTTTATACTTAGAGCATCTGGCCCAGAGCAGGCCCTTAGTTAAGTATTTGTGGAATGGATGTGCAAAGGAAGGAAGGGGGCAAGCCTCTGAGTACTCTTCTGGCTAGCACAGTATTCATCATAGGTATTGTTCTAGCTATGTCTCCAGCATTGCATTTCCAATACATTCTTCCTTGTTAACTATGAAGCTCATCTGGTGAGCCCCGTATGTCTATACAGCAAGTCTCCAAAGGAAGCTACCCCTGGCCCCAGAGCTGGCTGCACAACCAAGCGCCTTAGAGTGCGTCCCTAAAAACCCCTAGGCTAGAGGGGAAATGAGAAAGGAATTCAGAAGCTCATTTGTTGTGTGAAATAATGCGCTCTCTACCTCTGAAGTAGGAATGTTCCCATTCTTTTCAGGTAAGAGTCTACGATCTCTCCAGATATGAGCATGGAGCAGATGATGTGCTGATCTTGGCCACTGATGGACTCTGGGATGTTTTATCAAATGAAGAAGTGGCAGAAGCCGTCACTCAGTTTCTTCCTAACTGTGACCCAGATGACCCTCACAGGTTTGTGCATTTCGATGATGGTAGGGTTGATCCTCGAGCCAGTTCTCACTGTGGGACTGAAATAATAATGCTGGGAGCGGATACGGATGGATTAGGAACTGCAAAAGGTACAACGTTTCTTACCAGACGTACTTTCACTGTCAAATAAAAATTCTCCTTAAGTCGAACCTAGATGCAAGCTATAGAGAATGTGATTTGTAAGATACTTCAGCAGCCTGTTTCTCACATTCTTTCTTCATAATTCCAAAGTGAGAATAATCCAATTTGTGATCCTTTTCAGGAGAGTAATACCAAATACTGCCAGCATTGATTTTTATCCATTGGGAAATGATTTCTTTTGAGAAGCGTAGAGAAAGGAGAGAAAAATTAGAGGAGGTTTTCACTTGTAGCATAATGGCAGTGTAAGTATCCCACACAACTCTAGGTGAGTCTCAGAAATAAACAGAAGTCCCCTCAGGAGAAAGGCGGCGTTCACTTAGAACACAAGGAAACAAGTCACCGTGAGTAAAAGCCAGTAATAGCAGCAGCCAGTGGAGTGTAACCTACAAGTACTTCATTCTTGAATTTGTCAGCCAAAAATGGAAATATTTTAACTTTTCAGAAAAGGTTTTTTGTTGGTTTTTTTTTTCCAGAAATGTTTTTAAAAGTGTTGAAAATAGAGGGTGCCTGGGTGGTTTAGTCATTAAGCATCTGCCTTCAGTTCAGGTCCTGATCCCAGGGTCTGGGATTGAGCCCCGCATCAGGCTCCCTGCTCTGCGGGAACCCTGTTTCTCCCTCCCCCGTGCTTGTGTTCCCTCTTACTCTCTCTGTCTCTCTCTGTCAAATAAATAAATAAAATCTTTTAAAAAAAAAAAGTGTTAAAAATGGGAACAAGGGGGGCTACCTGGGTGGCTCAGTGGATTAAAGCCTCTGCCTTCGGCTCAGGTCATGATCTCAGGGTCCTGGGATCGAGTCCCACGTCGGGCTCTCTGCTCAGCAGGGAGCCTACTTCCCCATCTCTCTGCCTGCTTGTGATCTCTGTCAAATAAATGAATAAAACCTTTAAAAAAAAATAGGAACAAGGACAAGAGACTATAAATTGACTACACAGATTTTAAAAATAAGGAAATGGAATTTCAGGAGATGACAGATATAAAAGTGAGAGTTAAAAACTCAGTGCATTAAACAGATTAGGGATAGCTGAAGAAAACACTGGTGAACTAGAAAATTGAATAGTCCGGAATATGGCTCAGAGAGACAAAGAGGAGGGAAAATATAAAAATGAGATTATGAGTCTAGGGGAATGACCTAAGATGCTCTCAGTTCCAAAAAGGAAATACTGTAGATGAGAAGAAAAAGAAAAAGTTCCATAATTGTTGAATGATGATAATAAACTGAAGATCCAGAAAGCCCAAAAGATCTCAAGCAAAAGAAATGGAAATTATTAGTACTTCATAATGAAACTGAAGAACTTTAAACAAACAAAATAATGAAAGCAGCCAGAAAGAAAGGCAAAACAGATATATATAAAAATATATAAATATATATATTTATAAAATATATATATAACTAGACCGAAAGCTGACTTTTCAGAAACAACAATAGGATCCAAAATACAGTGGAGTTATATCTTCAGTTGTCTAAGAATATTTTATTAACATGAAAGGTTTTTTTTTAACATATATGGAAGAATTTTTCATATGTTGTAAAAATATCATTAAAGAGGATAAATTAAAGACATTTTTAGGCAAAACACAACCTGAGGAATTTTTAATACCAACCAAACTGCTCTGAAGAAAATTCCAAAGGATGCACTCAGATAAAAAAAAAAAAGGAAATGGTCCTAGATGGAAGATCTGAGAAGTAAAATGGCTTATTAAGGTAGAAGCTTAGTAAATTTGTAGATACATTGGCTATACAAAACAGAAACAATGTCTAATGTGTGGTACTAAATATGGTAGAATTAAAATACTAAATAAAAACAATAAATTGGCAAGGGGGATTGGCAGTCAGTTACAGTGTGCTGTGATTCTGTTGGAAAAGAGGTTCTCTTAAAAGAGTTTAACTTTAGGGGCACATGGGTGGCTCAGTGGGTTGGGGCCTCTGCCTTTGGCCCAGGGTCCTGGGATCGAGCCCCGCATCAGGCTCTCTGCTCAGCGGGGAGCCTTCTTCTCACCCACCCCGCCCCGGCCTGCCTCTCTGCCTACTTGTGATCTCTGTCAAATAAATAAATAAAATCTTTAAAAAAAAAAAAAAAGGAGTTTAACTTTAGACTCTAAATGTGTTTAAGTAGCTAAGAAAACTATAGAAAACAAACAGAATGTATAATTTTCAACTAAGCAAGGGAAGTAAAACCTACATGGAATCAGAAACCAAACTTCTACATAATTTATAAGTCAAAAAATTTGAAATTACTTGGGTTTGGGGCTACTTGGGTGGTACAGTCGGTTGGGTTTCCAACACTTGTTTGGCTCATGTTGTGATCTCAGGGTCATGCGATGGGTCATGCGATGGGGCCCCATGTAAGGCTCTGCACTCAGCACAGAGTCTGCTTGAGTTTCTCTCTCTCTTTCTCATGTGCATGCTTTTTATTTTTTAATTTTGGTGTAACTGAATGAGCTATGCATAGATAAAGACTCCACTCACCCCTGACCTGCCAGAAATACCTATATCCCCTCCATGTTATAGGATAGCTCTTTCTGGAACTCCCCACTATATCCCAAGAAAACCCTGGTCACGAGCTCTAGACTCATTAGCACAGAGAAAGATTTTCTCAGACTAGGACCTCAGGGACTGAATTGTGTTATGGGGCTAGTTCTGTCTATATTACCACATAAACATGTACCTAAGGCCTCTTATAACTTCTAGATTCTAGGAGCCAAGGGAGTGGAAGTATCTACTTGTGGACCATATGTTCTGTTTTTGAGTACAGGCTATTAGTAAACACCTGTCCTAATTTTAAATATTAGGTCTGCTGCCCTTATTTTTTATAATAGCATCTAAATTTAAGAAGTGAAATAGCAGAATAAACACAGAACTAATGGGAAAAAATATAGATAATAAAATAGAGAACAGATATTCAATAAAAATAAATGATAAATGAATTAAGTTGCAAAATACAAAATCAGTATCCTGGAATCTGTTGAGTTTCTCTACACTGATAACAAACTAGCAGAAAGAGAATGTAAGAAAACAGTCCCATTTACAACTGCATCAAAAAGAATAAAATACCTAGGAATAAATTTAACCAAGGAGGTAAAGACCTATACTCTGAAAACTGTAAGACATGGATGAAAGAAATGGAAGAAGACAAAAAGAAATGGAAAAACATTACATGCTCATGGATTAGAAGAACAATTATTAAAATGTCTGTACCACTCAAAGCAATCTACAGATTCAGTGCAATCTCTATCAAAATACCAAAAGTATTTTTCACAGAACTAGAACATATAATCCTAAAGTTTATATGGAACCACAGAAAAATTGCCAAAGCAATGTTGAGAAGAAGGAACAAAGCAGAGATACCACAATCCCAAATTTCAAGATATACTATGAAGCTGTAGTCATTAAAACAGTATGGTACTGGCACAAAAATAGATACATAGGGAACAGAATAGAGAGTCCAGAAATAAGGCCACATTTTAATATTCAATCTACAGAGGCAAGAATGTACAGTGGAGAAAAACTGTCTTTTCAACATATGGTATTGGGAAAACTGGACAGCTACATGTGAAAGAATGAAACTGGGCCACTTTCTATACCATATTTATACTTACTTATATCTTATAAATTCAAAATAGAATAAAAACCTAAAACCATAAAACTCCTAAAAGAAAACATAGGCCATAAACTGTTGGCCTTAGCAATGTTTTTCTGGATGTGTTTCCCTAGGCAAGGGAAACAAAAGCAAAAATAAATAATTGGGACAGCATCAAACTAAAAAGCTGTTGCACTGCAAAGGAAACCATCAACAAAATGAGAAGGCAACCTATTGAGTGGGAGAAGATTTTTACAGTCGTTGATATATCTAATAAAGGGTTAATACTCAAAATATATAAAGAACTCCTGTAACTCAACACTCCAGGGGAATAAAAAATGGGCAAAGGACCTGACTAGACATTTTTCCAAAGAAGACTTACGGATGGCCAAAAGACACATGAAAAGATGCTCAATATCACTAATCATCAGGGACATGTAAATCAAAACCAGCAAGAGATAGCACCTAACAACAGAATTATTTATTATTTATCATTATTTATCAAAAAGATAAATAACAAGTTTGGCAAGGATGTGGAGAATAGGAAACCCGCCTGTACTAATGGTAGAAATGTGAATCGGTACAACCACTATGGAAAACAGTATGCACAGTTCCTCAAAAAATTAAAAACAACACCGTATGATTGGTTTTACTTGCAGTAGCCAAGATATGGAAGCAGCCTCAGTGTCCACTGATGAATGGACAAAGAACATGTGGTGTATATACACAATGGGATATTACTCGGCCATAAAAAAAGGGGGGCATCTTGCCATTCTTAACAACATAGCTGGAGGGTATTACACTAAGTGAACTAAATCCAAGAAAGACAGATACCATATGATGTCACTTTAATGTGGAATGTAAAAAACAAAACAAAGGAACAGTCAAACAGAAACAGACTCATAAATGCAGGCAACAAACTGATGGTTGCCTGAGGGGATGGGAGCTGGGAGATTGGAGGAACAGGTGGAGAGGATTGAGAGCTGCAAACTTCCAGATAGAAAATAAATCGTGAGGATGAAAAGTACAATACAGGCAGTGTAGTGAGTAATATCATAGTAACTTTGTATGGTGACAGATGGTAACTACTCTTACGGTGAGCATTTCATAATACATGATTGCAAATCACTATGTTTGTATCTAAAACTAATATAATACTTCATGTCAACTATACTTCAATTAAAAATTTTAAAAAAATTTTTTAATGATAAAGCCAGAGTTTGTTGTTTAAAGCAACTAACACATTAGGAAATTGCAAATCAGC